GAAAAATCTAGATTTAGTCCAATCTTTATGAAACTTGACAGTAATGTGACCTGTCATGTGTAGATGTGCCATCCGACTTTGGAATTTTCAAAATGGCTGCCGTTACCATGGAAACTGCAAAAATGTCAAAAAATTCAAAATGCTTCAAACTTAATGAAACTTTACACAAATGTTGACTGTCTTATGTAGATGTGGCATTTGACTTTTGAATTTCCAAAATGGCCACCGTAACCATGGAAACACGAATGCCAAAATTTGAAAATTGGTCCGATTTTTATGAAACTTGAAAGTAATGTGACATGTCATGTGTAGATGTGCTATACGACTTTGAAATTTCAAAATGGCTGTCGTTACCATGGAAACAGCAGAACAATGGTTGGGAGCCGTTTTGGCAACTTTTGTGTTAGCATCCTAACACAGGATTACTTGTTATTAAGTCGCCAAAACGGAGTTTTGGGGACTTTATGTTTTTGTCCCGTTATTTATTATTATTATTATTATTATGGCACCCTCAACGGAGTTGGGGTGACATATTGTTATTCTACGTTTCTTTTTTTTCTTATTATGGCACCCTCAACGGAGTTGGGGTGACATACTGTTATTCTACGTTTCTTTTTTTTCTTATTTTTCTTCCACACATTTTGTCCGCGCGAGTTCTTGGAATCCAATGGACCGATGTTGATGGAACTCTACTATAATGAGGACCCCCATGTAAAGTTGTGCACCTTGCTATGGAATGGTAAAAAATGGCCGCCGTTTCCATGGAAACAGCAAAAATACGAAAAAAATCAAAGTGTTCCAAATTGAAAGAAACTCAAGAGGAATGTTAACTGGCATGTGGTGATTTGCAGTTTGACTTTGGAATTTTCAAAATGGCTGCCGTTACCATGGAAACAGCAGAACAATGGTTGGGGGCCGTTTTGGCGACTTTTGTGTTAGCATCCTAACACAGGATTACTTGTTATTATTATTATTATTATTATTATTCTTAACCCTAATTTGTCCGACCATTTTCTTCCAAGCCTTAAATGATGGAAACTTTATATTTGGTATGATGTTGGGGTAGTATCCCTAGGGGTGCATTCACTATTTTTTATTTCAAATGGGGGTCAACTTGGCACTATTTGGGGGCCGGAACATGGGTGGGGTCATTTTTCGAATATGGATTCGCTACTGGTAGAACCTTTAAGTTTTGTGTAATACAAGAGACCGATGTCCAGGTGTCCATTCCACATTTTTTATTTCAGCCCGGGGTCATCTTGGCATTATTTTAGGGGGTCAATTTTCATGGAACATTCTAGAACAATAGTCATGTGATTAGTCATGTGATAGTGTTGAATTATTTCTATGTACTTTTTTTGTTATATAATGATAGATTATTATAGGTAGCACCATATGTAGCTGTAATTCGACTTTGGAATTTTTAAAATGGCCGCCGTTACCATGGAAACTGCAAAAATGTGAATTTTTTTTAAAATGCTTCAAATTTAATGAAATTTTACAGAGATGTTAACGAGTGTATGTAGATTTGGATTTGACTTTGGAATTTCCAAAATGGCCGCCGTTGCCATGGAAACAACAAAAATGCGAAAAATCTAGATTTGGTCCAATCTTTATGAAACTTGACAGTAATGTGACCTGTCATGTGTAGATGTGCCATCCGACTTTGGAATTTTCAAAATGGCTGCCGTTACCATGGAAACTGCAGAAATGTAGAAAAATTCAAAATGCTTCAAACTTAATTAAACTTTACACAAATGTTGACTGTCTTATGTAGATGTGGCATTTGACTTTGAAATTTCCAAAATGGCCACCGTAACCATGGAAACATGAATGCCTTAATTTGAAAATTGGTTCAATTTTTATGAAACTTGTTAGTACATTGTAATGTGACCTGTCACGTGTAGATGTGATATCCGACTTTGAAATTTCAAAATGGCTGCCGTTACCATGGAAACAGCAGAACAATGGTTGGGGGCCGTTTTGGCGACTTTTGTGTTAGCATCCTAACACAGGATTACTTGTTATAATTATTCTTCTTAACCCTAATTTGTCCGACCATTTTCTTGCAAGCCTTAAATGATGGAAACTTTATATTTGGTATGATGTTGGGGTAGTATCCCTAGGGGTGCATTCACTATTTTTTATTTCAAATGGGGGTCAACTTGGCTCTATTTGGGGCCGGAACATGGGTGGGATCATTTTTCGACTATTGATTCGCTACTGGTAGAACCTTTAAGTTTTGTGTAATACAAGAGACCGATGTCCAGGTGTCCATTCCACAATTTTTATTTCAGCCCGGGGTCATCTTGGCATTATTTTAGGGGGTCAATTTTCATGGAACATTCTAGAACAATAGTCATGTGATTAGTCATGTGATAGTGTTGAATTATTCCTATGTACTTTTTATGTTATATAATGATAGATTATGACAGGTAGCACCATATGTAGCTGTAGTTCGACTTTGGAATTTTTAAAATGGCCGCCGTTACCATGGAAACAGCTAAAATATCAAAAATTCTAACTCTTTCGTTATAAGACCCAACTGGATGAAACTTTATGAAAATGTTACCCAGTATGCTAAGATGTCAAGATAATATTTGGATAGTCCAAAATGGGCGCCGTTGTCATGGAAACATGGGGCATGTTTTACATTGACCCTATGGGAAAGTGCATAAAATCAGCATTTTCTTAAAGAGTATTTGACCAAAGTCAATGAAACTGTATTGATATATAACATGACATGTGGCAATGAGATGTCTGCTTCTAGAATTTTGGAATTATCCAATGTAACCATGGAAACAGCAAAAATATCCAAAATTTCCAAAAAAATCAAAATGCTGCAAACTGGATGAAACTTTACAGAAATGGTAACTGGCATAGGCAGAGTTGCATTTTGAAGTTGGAATTTTCCAAATGGCCGCCGTAACCATGGAAACAGCAAAAATGTCCAAAATTTCAAAATGCTCCATACTTAATGAAACTTTACAAAAACGATAATTTGCATGTGTAGATGCACTCTTTGACTTTGGAATTTTCTAAATGGATGCCACTCGCCTGGCAATTGGGGAAGGGTGCTATCCGCTATTGCTTGCAATGCCAAATCTAGTTATTATTATTTTTCTTCCACCTAATTTTGTCCGGAAGTTTTCTTAGAGCCAAAGGAACCAATCTAAATGATTGTTCACTATAACAAGGAACCCTGACTTTCGAGTTGCAGTGCAACTTTGGAACTAAAAAATGGCTGCCATCCCCATGGAAACCAAAGAAAGGTGAGAAAAAAAATTTTAGGGTTTGGTGAATTATTTGGGTATGCTTAAACTTCAAATCATCGAATTTTTATACAATGTAGCTGTCCGTTATATACAGGTTTTGTTTGATTTTGACATTGATCGGAACTACTATTTTGCCATGGAAACTGTAGCAAAAATTTCAAAAATTTCAAAATGCTTTTAACTTGATGAAACTTCACAGTAATGATGAGCAACATTTGTAGATGTGGCATTTGGAGTTGGAATTTCCAAAATGGCTGCTGTTACCATGCAAACAATGTAAAAATGGTCAAAATGCTTCAAAAACCTTAAAGTAGCATTTACTTTCTTAAAATGGTAGGTCAAATCCATTGAATTTTTGATGGTATATTCCCTGCCATGTACCAATGTGGCATCTGTCATTACATTTTGGGAATGGTCTCTGTTACCATAGGAACCAGCAAAAATTTCAAAAATTTCAAAAATTTCAAAACTCTCAAAACTTTATGAAACTTAATATGATTGTTAACTGGCAAGTCTAGATGAGATTTTTGACTTTGGAATTTCCAAAATGGCCACCGTTGCCATGGAAACTGCAAAAATGTCAAAAATTTTAAAATGATCAAAAATGCTCTAAATGTTCTGAAAATTTACAGAAAGATATATAGCTATGCATATATGTGCATTCCCTGTATAAAATTTTCAAAATGGCTATTATTACCAATACAAGATAAAAAAAAAAGAGATTATGTCATAAATTATACTCTAGTATACAATGTTGGAGAGATGTCATGGTTGAAGATGCACAAAGACCTAGGTGAGCGACACAGGTTCTTAAGAGCCTCTACTTTGTGTTTAGGTCCGTTTCTCATACTAGTATACTATAAGTAATAGGCGAACTATATTTTCTCTCATTTCAATGAGAAAAATTCGAGATTGTCATGTTTTGTAAACAATTGCCTTGAAGGACATCGTTCTTTAACCAACATGAATAGATTAGTTTTTGAAAGACAAACCATTACTTTACTATAAATTAAATATTGGTTTTGGTTAAGAAAGTTTTTCGTAATTTTGTTTTGGCGATAATTACTCAACATCTGACCAAAATCTACTAAAATTACAGTTTGAGCCATCTATGGGCAATCTTAATTTGGTTACATTTTCAGAAATACATCATAATGTTAAAGCCTCAGTGTTAACATAAGAATTTGTCATACTCTGAATTTTAATAAACTTCGAAGGACTTTTTTAAAAAGGCTATGGTGCAAACTAAATGCAGGGGATCTTATCCATAGCTCTTATACACAATCGAAATATCCTTTTCTATAAAACTACAAAACTAAAGTATATGTAACTTAATGGATCACATTTGACTTCATAAGTTCATAAATAAGTACAGTTTTCAAATGAACGGAGAACAACTGATCATGGTTTATCATGAAACTATTCCCATTTTCAAAACCATACTTCTTATTTTTATATTTAATTAACAAACTAATATTATTGCAAATTGGGATAGTAGTGTACAAACGCTTTATTAAAGATCAGTTTCACAAAAATTCTTAAAACTAAAGTTGATCGTAAGTATACTGAATGGTTCATGACTTACGATCAACTTTAGTCGTAGGATTTTTATGAGAAAATGATTACAGACTCGGACTTTATTGTGTCTGGTGGATAGTTATCTAATTGACAATTTATGCCACATCTCCTTATTTTCATATTTATTACATCATATGAAACTCTTACTGTTTAAATCTCTTATCTGTTGTTTGTATTCCTCTTCCATTTGTGTGAACTTATTCTCCATTTCTTGGTCTAGATTACATGTTTGGTATTGTAATATTTTGTGTTCAAACGTTTGTGTTTGCAGATGTGTTTCTGCTCTTTGAGCTATGTCTATATATCTTGAAAATAGACGATGGAAATCAGCTTCTGAAATAGATGGATCAGCCATATGTGAGATGTCATCTCTACATAACCTAATACGCTCTATGTTATCTCCAACTGTAGACTCGTTTTGCTGGGGATTAGCTCCCCATCCTCGGGTTGGTTTGTCAGAAATCAGCAAAGAAAAACTCTTATATCTTGCTATTTTACACATAAGGCTTATGTCAAATTTTTTGAATCCATGTGCTGGTAATGTTTGTATCACACACATCTCTTTTTGGTTAAGACGATTCTTGAATTTTGTGTTTCCTAAAATGGAACGCTCTATTGAAGCTGGCTGTGTCCCAGACTGTTCCATGTACTCCCTTATTATTTGAGTAAGTACATCACCAAGTACAAGGCGACATCTCATATATCTGGCTTGATCTTGGGTAGCCATGATTACCTAAAGTATCAAGACTAAGAATAACATAATTTCATTAAATTATTTTAAAGTATTTCATTTCTTTTCTCTTATTTGAATGTTATAGGGACTTTTGATTGGTAAATAAATGAAATAAAATAAAAGAAACAACTATATTTTTAAGATCATCAGCAAGATCATTTGAATAGTAGAGGATTGGCGGAAATGTAAATAGTAAATTCAAGCCAGTTAATCAGGCTATTAGATTTCTGTTGAAAAGTTTTGCAATTGCAATAAACACAAACATTGAATACCAAATCAGTGTATTCTAACTTTATAAGTTCATTCAGAGAAAATACATGGTTTCAATTATAATCCTAAGATTTTTTAAACAGGCAGATGTTTACCTAACACATAAAGCCGTATGACTTGCAAAGAAAGAAAAGAAGTTAGCAGTATCCCTTAACTTCACTTTCCGCTATAACGTGATGTTCTATCACTAAATAATTCAAAATATGGTGACTATGTTGAACACATCGATTCCATCGAACTTGAGATAAAGGATACAACAGATACATTTAAGTCTGCCTCATATCTTGACTTACATCTAGAAATTGACATGACTTCAGCTTCCTAATTGTAAACTTCCCATTTCTACGTAGCAACATACCAGCAGCGCCTGCATACGGAGTATATATCTGCCAGTTGATACGATATCCCAGGGCTTTTATAACTTATCATGATTTCCTTGATAGAGGGTTGTTGCTCACAAGGAAGCTATTTAACCAAGAGTTCCAAACTCATCATAGAAATCATCAGTAAATTTTACCGACGCCATCACGAGTTGGTTGACCGTTATAGAATATCTGTTTCACAGATGTCGACGGATATATTCCAATTGTCGTAACTACAATTCCGTCCCCTTTTTCACGAATGTAACCTTGAGAATAATCCTTATCACCGGGTTTGAACTTGCATGATCAACACGACGGGTGCCAAATGTGGACCAGGATCTGCTTACCATTTCGGAGCACATGAGATCAACCCAGTTTTGGTGGGGTTCGTGTTGCTCAGTCTTTAGTTTTCTTTGTTGTATTTTGTGTAATAATATGCATATATTTGGTATGTGTACAAATAATCTGCAAAGCAAAACATTCTAGGTTACAAACAGTATGATAAACACATGTGATCATTAACTACATAGAAATTTGGGACAAATTATAAAAAGTTCAACAGCTTGTTATTTTGATAACAAAAATGGTTAAAATTTCGAGATATTGATGATAAACTGTAACATTTCATTTGACATAACATCTATGTGTAGACCTGAACACCATTTGATGTTTAAAAGTACCTTTATTTACAGGGACTGTTGATCACCGGGGATTGATCCTTCTCTCTTATATGTACAGAATTAATTATTATTTAAATAAATAATAATATAATTAAAAACTAATTGTTCAGAGAACAATTGAAGGTCTTTCCACAAATAAACATATATTTTAATATGAAAATAATAAAATACGGTTTAAAGTGTCATTACCAGCGTCAAATGATAGCTTATTGTACGCTGATTCCAAAAATATATGGTTTCTATACAATAGTTTTTAAATAAGTGAGATAATTGGTTACTTCCGGTTTGAAAAATGTTACTTCCGGTATTATTCAAACATATAATTGACACTGATACCAACAATATCTGGTTCTATAAACTTTAACATTAATCAAATACAAAAAAAGCTACTTCCGGTTTACACAAGGTCACTTCCGGTTGGCTTTTCTAAGATTAAATGGCTTGAAACGTAATGCAAAAAGTCCCATGGATTTATCATGTATTCATATGAGGTAAAAGCAAAGGTCAAAATTTAGAACGTCAATTTAACCTATGACCTTGAGCTCAATTTCAAGGTCATCAACCAAGGACCTATAATCAAATGACCCTAGGACTTAATTATATTTGGTTCATGAGTTGTATCACCATATGCATATTTTTAAATAAAAGAGGGGAGAAAACTCTAATTTGATGTAAGCGTACACTTTAAACCGATATGTATGTGTTACGACATGTCGCAACTAACAATTTAGTAAAATTATGTTGTCGATATCTTATATCGTGTTTAAAAAGAGGTGAAAATAAGCCAAAATCCAAATTTAAAAATGATCTTGACATTTGACCTTGACCCTATTTTCTTTTTTTTTGGACCAAGGACCTCAAATCAAAAGACCCTAGGTCCCTATCACTTATGGTTTACCAATTACAATTACATTTTACTTATTTTAAATACAGAAGGGGAAATAACTCTTATATGGAGTTTCTGGACCGCTTCGGTCAAAATTATTCTTAAGATCCTGAGGATATATAACAAACAAATTGGAGACATAAATTTGTCATAATCTTTTACGGTTGCGAAGGAGATGCGTACACAAGAAAAACAGTGTTTGGGGAGATATATCTTACAATAAAAAGTATTCGGTTAAACAGGGTCAGTTTCAAAATCGCAATAACTGTTCAATATCATACACAAAAAATCTAAGCGTCATCTTGGGAAACAAAAATGCACCGTCAGAAAAAAGTGGCGGAAGAAGAAAAAAATAATAATAATAATAATAATCAGAAGAAAACCAATAGGTCTTTCCACAGAAAAGTGAAAAGACCTAATTATCAGAAGAAAACCAATAGGTCTTTCCACAGAAAAGTGGAAAGACTTAATAATAATAATAATAATTAAAAACCAATTGTTCAGAGAACAATTGAAGGTCTTTCCACCCATAAAGATCTATTTTGATATAGAACTATTAAAATTCGGTTTAAAATATCATATCCAGCGTCAAATGATAGCTTATTGTACACTGATTCCAAAAATATATGGTTTCTATACATTTTTTTTCTAAATAAGGGAGATAAATTGTTACTTCCGGTTTGAAAAATGTCACTTCCGGGTTTTTTCATAGTTTACTTGATACTGATTCCAAAAATATATGGTTTAATATACTTTTACATAAATAAGTACAGAAAAATAGCTACTTCCGGTTTACACATGGTCACTTCCGGTTGGTTTTTTCATGGTCAAGTGGCTTGCAACGTAATGGAAAAAATCCCATGGCTTTATCATGTATACATATGAGGTAAAAGCAAAGGTTAATATCTAGAATGTCAAATATACCTATGACCTTGAGTTCAATTTCAAGGTCTTAAAGCAAGGGCTTCAAATCAAAAGACCATAGGTCTTAATTATATATGGTTAATGAGTTATATCACTATAAGCCTAATTTTTTATATAAGAGGGGAGAAAACTCCAATTTAATGTTAGCGTACCCTTTCAACCAAAATTTATGTGTTACGACATGTCGCAACTGACAATTTAGTAAAAATATGTTGTCGATATCTTATACGGTTTTTGAAAAGAATTGAAAATAAGCCAAAATCAAAATTTAAAATATGACCCTGACCTCTGACCTTGACCTTATTTTCTTTTTTTTTGGACCAAGGACCTCAAATCAAAAGATCCTAGGTCTCTATCACTTATGGTTTACAAGATAGAAATGAATATCACTTATATCAAATGCATAAGGGGAAATAACTCTCATATGGAGTGTTCGTATGGTACGGTCAAAATTGGACAAATCATGCGAAGGATATAACGAGCAATTTTATAAAATAAATTTTGTCGCTTTCTTATACGGTTACAGAGGATATGCAGTCACAAGGAAAACAGTGATTGGGGAGATAACTCCTACAAAGAAAAGTATTCGGTTACGCAGGGTGAATTTCAAAGGAGCATAAACTGTTCGATATCATATACCAAACATCTAAGCGACATCCTGCGAAACAAAATTGATACGCAAGAAATAAAAGTGGCGGAAGAAGAAGAAAAAAAAAAAAAAATTAAAAACCAATTGTTCAAAGAACAATTGAAGGTCTTTCCACATCAATTTTCTAAATAATTGATAGGAAGCTACTTCTGGTTTACTCAAAGTTATTAATAGCGTCAAAGTATAGATTTCTTCATACTGATTCAATAAATAAATGGTTTCAATATACTTTTGCCTGAAATAAGGGAGATAATTGCCAACTTCCGGTTTAGAAAATGTCAATTCCGGTCTCATATGATAGCTTTATTCACACTGATTCCAAAAATATATAGTTTGTATATACTTATGCCTGTAATAAGGAAGATAATATGCTACTTCCGGTTTATAAAATGTCACTTCCGGTCTCAAAAGATAGGTTAACCTATGATCATTCAAAAAATATATGGTTTCTAGGTAATTTCCATGAAATAAGTGCAAAAAATACTACTTCCGGTTCACTCAAGGTCACTTCCGGTTGACATTTTTCAAGGTCATATGTCAACCAACAGTTTGCAAAAGACCCTATGGCTTTATCAATTACCAAGTTGGAGTAATAATCAATTAACCTTAAATTGAATCATTTCAGGGACAATAACTCCTATAAGATGTCATTGGATTGTTTCAGACAAAATGTATCATATCTTAATCACAATTAGGCAAACATTTTGCACTTTTTCTTTAATTTGTATCTTTAAAAGTGACAGAGGAGATAAAATAACAAGGAAAAGTCAAAATTTAGAATATGACCTTGACCTTTGACCTTGGCCTCAATTTCATTTAAATGAACCAAGGAACTCAAATCAATATACCCTAGGTCTCTATCATTTACCATTCATGCTATACATTTATATATCCCTTCTGTCATATACAGAAGGGGAAATAACTCTCATATGGAGTTTACATATCGCTTCGGTCAAAATTGGACAAAACATCCTGAGGATATAACGAGCAATTTGGTAAAATAAATTTGTCGCTTTCTTTTACAGTTACGGAGGAAATGCAGTCACAAGAAAAACAGTGTTCGGGGAGAAAACTCCTACAAAGAAAATTGTTCGGCTTAGAATGGGTGAAAATAAAAAGCGCAAAAACTGTATGATACTATATAAGAAATATTTAAGCGACATCTTGCAAAACAAAAATGTTACGCGAGTACAAAATTTGGCGGAAGAAAATAATTATAATTA